AGGCTCAACATATTTCTGGTATCATGGCACATTTGCAGATTTGGGAAAAAGCAAAATATTTTCCCCCCACTAACTGTCCTTCCAGCATTATCTCATTAACTTTATAATGGAAACAAACTGAAAATCCTGTGTTCCTTCAGAGTAGGACTGGCGCTAACATTAGGCAAGGTGAGCAACTAGACGCTGAAGGCATAAATTGGGTAAACATACTGAAACTATCTGAGAAAGAGAGACCTCTGAGCTGTTTCTCCAGAGTTCCTAAAATGTTGCATACTATGGAAGGGCAGAGTAGCATCTATCCCATGGCTGTTTTATCACCTATCAGACCAGTTAGCTTCTGCATATGGACCAGAGAGAAGGTGTTTCTTGAGCTGGCTGTGCTCGGTAACTCTAATTCCACCCTTTGTATCATTTATCAGTGCCAAAGTCAAGGAACTAGTTAGGAAAATGCAGTAGCATTTCAGGGGAAGAAGCATTCAGAAAAATAATACAATGCTTCCGAAGAAACTTTTTTAAAATAACAAAGTCTACTCACCAAAAGAGTAATATATTCACAAAAATATTTTCCCATCTGACCTTCCAGATACCACTTCAGTTTACAAGCCAAACTCATCTATATTTATATCACCATTCTCAGCAGAGCTGATGAGAAGGTCAGGGATCTTGGCAACAAAGCACTCGCATTTCCCAGGAAATTAATCTGAGCTGGAACCAAGGACCACAATCAGCAAAGGAAAGCCACACAGCAGTCTATGCTTTGTTAGTTTACCACAGCTCAAAACATCAAGACTGTTTTTAAGAACTTTGTCTTTTGGGCCAAATATTTAAATGTCAATCCACTGCTGGATTCTGGAGCTTATGAGGGGCGGAAGATTGTCCTTAACTAACAGATCTCAAATATGTTTTCAAAGCCAAATTTTGTACTGGGGCTGTAATTTTTATAAATTTTAGTTTTAACCTACACTAATTGTCCAAGGATGGGAGAATAATTCAAGGTAAAATGCATGTTTGGCCTCCAGAAGTTCCTAGATTTAATCCTTGGATCTCAAGAAAAGCTTTTAAAAGGCTATGTCTTATGATCTAGAAGAAATTCCACCTTAGTGCCATCAGTACTAGGATAAATGGCATGCATTAATGTAAAGTATTCATGTTCAGGTACCTCAGGAATAACTGGATTCAGCCAATCTCATATAAGGGAAGAGGAGAAAGGCTTTCCAGACTCATTTACTTGGCTGGAAGCTTGAAATGCTTCTTTCATTGAACCAAGTATTCTATCTGCCATGATGAACAATGGGGACTTGTTCCCAAACCCCATTCTGTGAACACCAATGCATCCTTTTGCCGGTACAACTTTTAATTAGCCCCAGGATCATAAAGACAGGCTGTGTGGCTCTGAAATCCCAGTTGGCTGACTAGCACTTCTTTGCTTTAACAATGGGTCTCCCACTATTTTACTTCAGTGCTTGATTTCCTCTAGTTTCCTGCTGTTACTGAGTCATTAAAACATTCCTGCCAATTGGAGCCTGCAACAGAGAACCTTAAAAAGGCCACTGCCCTTTTTATGCAGTATAAACAAACTATCTCTCTGTGCGTGTGTGTGAGAGAGAGAACACATGTGCATACTTTGTTTTTTTGGAGAGCAGTTGAGTCTCAAGCCAAGGCAGATATAATGGTCTGATTTGTACAGCCCAATGGAAGATATCGGTGGGAAATGATAAAGTAGAATAGACAATTTCCAGCAAAGAAATCCAGCAATCATATTATGCCATATCCTTATACTTAATCTTGAGGCTCAGCTAGTGCAGAATGCAGCGATCAGAATGCTAATACACATGAACATAGAAGAGAATATATGTAGCTCAGGGTTGAACTGTGGAGTCCTTGATGCTCTCTGAGCTTGGTTGTTTGATTGCAGACGTTTCATTACTCAACTAAGTAACATCAGTGCTAGGGAGTGTGGGGTTTGCTGCCTGTTTATATACAGTGGCTTGCCCTGCCAATGTTGGTAGGGGTGTGGTTTTCTCCTTGGTGGCAGCTCATCAATTTGAAATTCTGGTATGCTGGTAGATATTGAACATGTGTTTAGCAGTTTGTTTTACTCAACATATTGATCTTGAGAATAGTTTAAACAAACCTTTAAATTCAGTGAATTCTTGCACTGTTAAGCAATAATAAGTGATAGGACTTTTAATGGGTAGTAACAAATGTTTTCTTCTCACTTCTTATGATCATCAGGTCTATTTTCAGTTGTAAGTCTACTGACAAAACTTATATCTTTGGCTGAATATTGGTGTATAAATTATATGTATGTATATGTAATTATGTGTGTGTATGTGTATGTGTGTGTATGTATGTGTGTGTGTGTGTGTGTGTGTGTGTGTATATATATATATATATATCTGCACTTTCATGATCAAATACTGCTATATATATATAAATTAAGAGTGCCTTGCATGTCTTTGTAGCAAAAGGAACAATGCAGCAGTATTTGATCATGAAAGTGCAGATGAGCATTAAGTAGCTGTGAATAACACACAAGAGTAGCTGATGATCCTTTAAAATGATTGCATGGAAAATCACTAAATGGGTGGATGTATGCATTTGCTGATTTATGCATTTTATTTCTTTGCAGTTAAAATTACTGGGAGAAGAATGCTGTTATTTGGTTTCATGTGGTCAATATTTTCAACTCATGGAGGTCATAATAGCCAATAGTTCCTAGCACAAGAAATGAAATATCAAGCCATGTTAAGTTGGTGTTTATTTAGAATTGAGAAAATAGCAACATTCATTCTCATTATGTTACAGCATTATTTACTCAGGTTGTGATGAGAAGAAAAGAAATTTTAACTTCTACTGAAATCAGCAACACTTTAGAGGTGAAAGACTTTTAACTGATCAGATATAAGGGAACTTCATATTTAGAAACTTCTTGGGCTTTCTTAGACTTGTACTGTCTGACTACTTTGCAGCTATAGCAAATCTAGGAAGCAAAGTGAAGTTGCATTTCCTTTTCTTTGTTTTTTAGTTGGTTTTTCCCTAGTTTTTAAAATATCAATTTGCTAAGTCTCCAGCGGTGGATTGGAAAGCAAGTGTTTAGTATTTTAGTGCTTTTTATTCACTTCCACCACCTGGGGCTTATAGGCTAATGGTCACTGATTGAGTCATAATGTGATTGATCAAGCATTTCACTTGTGAAGCTGGATCCTTTCTGGCTTGGAATGGCTGGCAGGACTTTACTAGTTCGGAGAGGCTTGGTTGATTGCAGTGATAAGAATGAGTACTGGGAAAGTCCTGCGTTTGTGGACTTGGTAGCAAATGTTGGTGGCAAAATAGATGTGCCAGTTCTCAATGAATTTAAAGACAATATCTTCAACTCTTTGGTACCTTGAGGAGCTTGGTTGGGTGATAGCTGGACTGGAAGAGAGTGCAAAGAGAGACATCAGAAACAAATAATAGATAATACAGGCTGTGTAAATTGAAGTGAACAATGCTGAAGGCAAGAGGGAGGATATATTTTTGTATGAAATATATATAACATTCTTAGTAGAGCACTGCAATCACAGAATCACAGAGCTGGAGGAACCTATTTAGGCCATCAAATCCAACCCCCAAATTAAAGCCCTTCCCTAATACTTCTGCTTTAATACATCTAAAGAAGCCCACCACCTTATTAGATAATTGGTTCCCATATTCTTATCTGCAAGAGTGCTGCGTTCTACCTACTCCTATAACTCTTGCTTGTCATTGTCCTTATTTTTGTCACCAGTTTTACTTTTTGCCATGCAGACCTATACACCTGGGGGTAGTCCTTCATTTTGCCAGCAGTAGGAAAGCCTATGGGGACTATGTTGCTGAAAATGCACAGAGGAGCTCATCTGCCATCCTTAAATACCTTAAGATAAGAGGTGGCCACTACATACCTGCAGCTCTCAAATTATTTGAAGCCAAGCCAATAACAGAACTCTGTGGTGGCCAGCTGGGCCCCTTGTCCAATTCTGCACCATTAGAACTTGTACAATTTTTAAGATCAGCCCTTCAGGTCCCTATTGGGCCTCTGATGCTATCCTGCAACTAGAGGAAGGCTTCATAAAAGTGGAGGCTAGAGTGTGGGTGACCATACTCAACTATTGGCTTCCATATACCCATCTAATGCTCATACCCCTTCTTTTACATTTTTGTTTTTTATATACATTTTTAGTTTTTAATTCATATATCTTTTATATCTTCTAGCTTTTCATATTTTTTTTAGATTTTTATTTTTCACTTTTGATATATTCTTTATACTTTTTTAATGACTGTACTCCACCTTCCTTATGCTGGTCTATGACTGTAATAAAGATCTAATTTGATTTGCAGACCTAATTTCTTTTGTGAAGGTTTGATCTCTCTCTCTCTTCTCTCCTGAAAGTTAAGAACTTTAAATCTGTGAGTGAAGATCATAGTTCTTGCTACTTGCATGTATATAAATACTAAAGCAACATTTTGCGCACATCTGTAGATCCACAGACTGCAGCTGGTAGGTTTATTTTGCACTTGGAGATGTTACAGTGTATGATCAATGTTATTTTAGAATTACTTTTATTTTTTTAAAAAATTATATAATCACTAAATGAATTTCTTTTTTGGTTGCCTATACAGAAAATCCCAGTGCAGCCCTGGCATTCAAAAGAAATGAAAGTGAAAGTGGAAGAAATTGGCTGCATAATTGGCTGTGAAATATATGAAATAATTTCTAAGTGTGTTAAAATTGTCACTATGATAACAATTGTGAGAAGTACATGCAAAGTCGATGATACATTTTGTCAAGGGATTATCTGTGCTACACTTCAGTTTAATAATTACATCAAAAATGCAGATAACAGGCTAATTTTCAAGAACAGTGTTGGATGTTTTAATCCAGTGGATGGGTTAAATGTCATAATCTGAGATGTGCCTTCTAATATCTGCTTAGCCATGAAAATTACAGGGTGACTTATAACCCCTTACTATCTTTCAGGGCATAAACATTGAGGTAGATGGACCAGTGTCTGCTCAGTATAAGAGTTTTCTATGTTTCTGAATTGGCAATAAAATAGCAGGAGGAAAATGCAAGACTTTGCTCCTCACTGCTTGCCACAGTCCTGATCTGGATTGCACATCCCCTCTCCTAGACACACTGCATGCAGCTGGTATTCCTTTAAAAGGATCAGATATTTAAACTGATGCTGCTGATCTTAATTTTATCTTTCTGCTTCAGTATTCACTGTTGATACTCTTGCCAGAAGATATCTTAATTGCAGCTTCATAAAACATAATTGCAATAAAACTGCTTTAACTGCAGCCTCATTTTGCATGTCACAACACTATCTGAAGCTGAACAACCTACTTAGCAAGTTGTGTAAAAGCATGTAGTGTTCACAGGCTCTCTAATGCTATGGTCCCTGGGAATTGTCTCAGGCCCAAGATGGGTTCCCCTGTGTGGATTGGTGGAGAAAGAGGTCTCCTAGCAATCTTCTATACCATCAATGTTCTGAGAGGACAAGATGGAGGGCATTCTGAAGTTTCTGCATGCTTTTTTTTGTTCCTACCACATTAAGAGTGTACTACATTAAGAATGTATCTCTGATTTTAAAAAGGGGGTATCATAGCAGACCTGTGGATTTGGCTGTCCTTTCCCTACCCAGGCTTCATCTATTCTTCATAGTCTAGGTATGCTTTCTGACTTGAATGTATCTTTTCATCCATCTATTTATTCCATTCTGTGTTGTGTTGCTTTTTAAATCAATGCAGCAGTGTTCATGTAGCTCAGATTTCAGATATTTCTCATCCTGGTGGTGATTCTTTCCTCACATTTCTGACTTCTTGAGATTCTTGTCTTACTGTATTTCAGTCTTCAGTGCTGTTGCCTGTTTTTTGGGACCATACCATGCTGAGCCCATGAGATGGTTATGCTGATGTTGGATATTTGTTTATAATTTTATCCTGGTTGCCGATTATTGTTATGCTGTTGTTTGGTTGTGTTTTTTAAATTATTAGTTGCCCAGAGTCATGCTGATGAGATGGGCATCCATATAAATGGAGTTAAATAAATAAATACCTCTAGCAATTGAGCACATGCAAAACGATTACATTTTATTTGCTGAAATGGCAGTTCTGGGTGAGTATGTGCCTAGAGTAGCCTAGGAATAAATAACTTTGTTTATTTTCCACTACACTAAAAAACCCAAATCCCTTCATAGTTACTACCAGGTGACATTAGCTGCATGTTGTTATATAAATAGCGGTAACAGCAACTGTGGGCCTATGCAGAGTAGAAAGGGAAATTTTAATTTCATAATCTCTGATACAGATTTTCAACTAAAATCGCTCTGAAGCTGCTGTTTGCATTTAAAGGGGCACTTTAACTGGCACCTAGGTAAGTTTCCCTTGAAATGGAGCGAGTAGGTTTAAAGAAGAATTATTTTGTTCTCTCTAACTTCCCTGAGCTTGAAACCGAAGTACTATATGTGACTCAGGGCCTGAAGGAAGACAGAAATTTGTCCCATATTTTGCAACTGAACAGAATGATATTGCAGATTACTGTAAATGAGATGAATGAGGGTAGATGGCAAAACTGGTGAGCAATTATGCATTCCTTACCCAGCTCCAGAAATGACTGGGGTTTTAGAGCGATCTGAGAGATACTGTGGGGCTGTTATCACAGATAAAAGAGAATTGCACTAACTTTTAAATGTTACTGATTCTCAGAAATGTTTTGAGGAGATTTCAAATTATTCCTGTTTGGGTTTTGAAAGATGACCATGTTTGCCCTTGACTGAAATGCAGAAATAAAAAAAGAAAAAGAAAAAGAGAGAGAGAGAGAGAAAGAAAGAAAAAAGAAAAGAAAAAGTGGAAGAAGCGCATGGTAGTCAAAGAATATAACATGAGTGCATAACACTGATAATCAGTTGGAGATAAGAGGCTGAGCATTGTCACCCTCAAGCCCAAGTTCTGCTAAATTCAGTTCCTCTGAACAGAGAAAGGAAAGTCAGGAGAAGTTCAGAGAACAATGAGAAGAAGTTGATGATGTAGTTCTTTAAACTCCTCTCTCAAACGGAACAAAAAGAAATGTTTACAAGGTATTAAAGGTATTTTAAGAAGTATTAAAGAGTATGCTGCCAGTAGCGTTTTCTAACACAGAATCACTTAAAACAGTACCAGCAAAAAATGAAGAGAAACAAATAGTTTTTAATTCATTAAACTTCATAGTTTGTAGTTTTAGTATTAATATTAATCTGAATTTATACAGAGAGACCTTAGCATTATTATAGTTTAGCATTGTATTATTAATATTTGCTACTAGGTGCCCTTCATAATATATATCTTGTAAATTTAATAGTTATTATTGGAGTAAGTTTTTCATTAAATGCTGTATTGTTGTGTATTGTAATTACTACTAAATTAGTAAAATGTCTAGGACAGTGGTTGTTAAACTGGGGGTAATTACCCCTAAGGGGTAATATGGGCATATCCTGGGAGTAATACAGCAATTTGTAATTGCTTGTTTATGAATTGAGGATCCAGTTTGGGAATCTGCCACTGGCAAGAAGCTTGTGTTAAAACAACAGTCTTGTTTTTTTTTGGGGGGGGGGTCATAACATTATTTGAGACTGGGAAAAGGGGTGATTTAAGAACCACTGGTGTAGTAAATGAACATGAAGGACATGTATTGCAACGGTCTCTGCAGAGCTTTCATTGCCCTCCTATGAATGATAAGATATTGGTAGCTAATATACACACATGTAAAGAATGGGAAAGGGAAGGGAGAGAAAATTGTTGAGAACACCTTGGACAAATCAAGGACCATTGAAAAAGAGACCGACAGAACTCAAAGTAGCTACCTATTATCAGTAATGGCACAAACATAAGATTACATGCATTTTTTAAAAATACCAGCAGACAGTCATGGTGAAATGATGTCCACTGGGTCATGAAGAGTCAGAAGTGACTGAATCAACAACAACAATAATTTGCTGCACATGTAGCCTGCGTAAACCTTTGCAAACAGCAACCTGCACATTGGTTCCTCTTGAGAGTGCATAGTCTTAGGCTTGAGGTGGTCAGTTAGTGCAGCTGATAAATGCAGAAGACCTGTCCTGTCATAGACAATTTTCTAATGATCAGAAAAATGCAGCTCTGCAAAGGTATTATATCTTGCATCATCTATATTATATATTTTTCTCCATTAAGGGAAAATTAAGAAGCCATCGTTCTTACCTTTCTGTTCACAGTGTTTTACTATGGGGGCCAAGTTGTTCCTTACAGCTGTTAGGTCTTTTACTCTGGGAAGTTCTAAAGTTGTCTGCTGAAAGTTTTTCCCTAAAAAGAAAGTAAATATTATACACGCACACTTAAATAAGTTTCCTTTGAAAAGACGTAGAAAACAATATATGAATGGGACTGAGAAGAGATTGGGGAATCTGTATTCTTTCTCTACTTCCACCTAGCATATGATTAGTACAAAGTATGATCTCTCTGCATAAAGAATACTTATTAGACGGTACAAAACATTACTTTCCTAGCAATTACAAAAGTTTATTTAATCCTGCATTAGTACAGTAAAACACAGCGCTGGATTCAAAAGTTAGAATTATTGGGTACCTGCTAAAGGTGGATTTTGTTTTTGTTTTAAATTAAGCTCAATAATTCATATTGTACCCTATACAAACTAAAGAATCATATGAACCACAATAGGGGAATCAAAGTTACTGTACAACAAAAGATTCTAAAAATCTAAGAAAATTATTTTGTCTGTTACCTTGAAACCATAAAATAATAACACTAAGGTTAGTCCAGTTCTCTAAATGCAGTCAGAAGAGATTGCCCACTTCTTTTCAAACAAACCTAAGTATCCTATTTCTTATCAGTGGACATAACTGAGTTTATCTGAGTTTCATGTGAAACCAACCTGCTCTCATTTTAACTCTGCTCTGAGAGCATTAAGTGTATGGCTAGTTCATATATCCTACTAATCTATAATGCAATTTATTTAGTTCAATGTATTCTGTAGTTCAACTTGTTGCTTGCAAATCCATAGTTTATAAACCAGTCTAATAACGTTTATTGAATAAACCATGGTTTCTTGGTGACTTAGTGCAATGCGTGGACAGGTATATAGGGTTTTAAGGACCAAAATGGACCATCGTTGACAGTTGTCTGAAAAAGAACTACTGTATAAGCACCTTTGGAGGCTGAGTTAATTCCTATTTCTTAAGGGAAAAGTCACTGTCCGATGTAGAAGACTTGGATATTTCAATCTGGAAACTGCTATATATTGTGATACAATTATTTTCAGCATACCCAGAATTCCTTTGGACAAATAAACATAGTGTGGAAAAAAATTACCTGGTGACAAATTAGACAGATGGGGAAGATGTGGAGGGCATAACACATGATGAGATCTGTTTGGGAACAATCCATCTATCAGTTTATTATCAGAAGGCATGGTTGTCCAGTCTTTATATTTGGATGTTTGGTTTTTGTCAACTTTCCAAGGGCTGTCCAAAGCTTGTTGGCTGCTTCTTTGACTTGATAAATCATGTTCACTTCTGCTTTTTTGAGACCAGGTTGCAAAATTGTGAGAATCACTCTCCATATTCATGCTAGAGATTGTAGTGTGAGAAGATGTTAAAAAAGAATGACTCACAGTTATGGGTGGGAGACTTTGTGTTCTGATTGGTGGAAAGCCATTGTAATCTGGTGTATTATTTTCTGAAATGAGGTACTTCTTGGTGTCTGCATTTCTTTTCTTAAGGTCAGTAGCTTTCATACACTCCTTGGATGAACAATTATAGCTGGAATCCATTATGCAGTCAAATGTGGTGATAATCTCATCTACTTCTGAGGTCTCTTCCCTCTGGGATCTGTCTCTACTCTTCTCTTTCAAATTTGCCTTCCAATCCCCCTTTTTCTTTTTAGAGGAGAAGATTTGGTTAAGCATACTGAATCTCCCTTCCTTCTTCGATAATTTGTTGTTCTGGGAGGAAACGTGATGGAATAACTCGGGTCTTTAAGAAAAGAAAACCACATTGTGTCAACATTAGAATTTTATTGCTAGGACCAAAGATTAATATCTGGAGTTATTAGGGATGGAATTTTTTCTCCAGAGACCTTTAGCGTCAGTTTAATTTATATTCATACCTGTAATTCTGTGCTGTACCAATAGTGCTCAGTGGAGAAGTAAGAAAAAATCATGGAAAAATATTTCCAAGTCCAATTCAAAGTGCCAGTGCTGTCTCCTCCAAGTGGAACCTGTCCAGTCTATTTGTGTATGTATGGAGGCAAGACTTAGGATCCTATCCCTGCATCAGATCAGGGGGACCTGGGCCCAAAGTCCTTCTCTGTAGGGACCCCCATGCTTTGGAATAACCTGCTTTGGAGCCATAACCAGTTCTCATCCACTAGCGATTTCACAAGGCAGTGAAAATTGCATTATTTAATTGAGCACTTGGCCAATATTTATGGGTTTTGTTGACTTGTGGATCAGTTGTCATTTATTTTTAATATTTGCTGTTGAGGTTTTGGTTAATATGACTAATTTCTATTTTTTAGTTTTACTTTTGTAAACTGCCTGGACTAGTATGAACTGGGCAGTACATAAATGTTGTAAAATCAATCCATCTATCAATAAGGTTCTTATACAGATCATGATGATTAAATATATGTGTATATTGCTTACTGTACAAAAGCATCTTGAAGCACTTTACCAAATATAAAATAACTTAGAGAAATAATACATTTTAAGACATTATCAGTAAAAAGGAGAAGTCATCAAAAGGAGGAACAAAACCAGAGGCAAAACTCTTTCACCTAATGTTCATATAGAGAGAGTGTGGGCAAATAAGTCTTCAGTGTAAGCAGAACTTGGACCTGGCTCACTAGCTAAGTGGCTACCAGATAAAAGTAAAACTCCACCAACATGGCAGCAGGATACAAATCTGATGCTGCATAGAGGATTACAATAACATTTTAAATTGCACAGTACCCATATAATGCTCGCAAGGGATTCTTGTTTTATCTTTTTTTTTTAAGCAATCTCTAAGTAGCCAACATGTGTTTTAATCAATTAACTAGATTTATATTGTGCCTTTTCACCATAAGCTGAAGGTGTCTTCCTCCATTTTATTCCTCACAGCAAGCTTGCAAGATAGTTTGGCTTGAGAGGAAATGACTGGTGCAAAGTCACCCTGTGAGTTTCCATGGCTGAAGGTGAACTCAAACAATCTGGCACCTAAGCTCAACTCCACACTGTTGAGCCTGAACAGTGTTTTTGGAAAAGTGGATTAAATATTTCTACTGTTGAATTTAACAACCCAGGAAATAATGCTAATTATAGTTATTAACTGGAGGGAGACATATTTAACATTCAGAAGGTTAGGGAAAACTGATGCAAAAAGTTTATTTTCTTAGATGACTGTATATTCTTAGATTTTTAATAGAACAGGTAAGTGATTATGGTGGCTTTCATCCAGAACAAAATTCCAGTCCATTCTGAAGTGAGATTATTAATCTCATTGTGTATAGCAAATCAAATCTGAATACTCAAAACAAGTGGACGGTCACTAATGTGGACATGATAGCTTTTCAAAGAACTAGTTCTGAAATGATAGAGCATAAGTATAGATATTATTTTCTAGCTGCACCAATCACTTGCCAGTTAAATTTTGCAAATCTTTTGAAGTCCTACTAAAGGCTAATAAATCTATTTGACGAGGTACTCCAGCGAAGAAAAAAGGTAAGATGCATATCTACCAGCAAATATTGATTCATTAAAGTGCTTTTAATTCTTGGAAAAGCTCTGTTTTGTAAACTGCAATTTATTATATTGAACCTAATTTAAAATGTGCACTAAAGAGTTATTAAGTATAATGATCAACTGAGGCTGGTTTCATATCTCCATTTAGAGCCACTGATACTATATAGTATAGCAGGGTTTTTCAAACTGCTCTGCAGAACTTTGATGTGGTTCTCTGAGACAGTAAGGGCTGGGGGCTGGGGGGAACAGCCAAGTTTCTATCACTAGAGCTTTCCGTATCTTTTTTAAACTAATAGGTTCTGTGGCCTGAAAAAGTTTGAAAACCTCTGCTATATTGTACCTGGATGCTCAAAGCTGTAAAAAGTGGTTGTACCAACAATGGAATACAGAATAAAAGAAGAAACAAACCACAGAAGGTGGTGCTTGAAAAAAGGATATACTGTATAGATTCCAACATTCTGCGCAAAGGACTTAACAGAACCTCATCCCAAGACGTGACAACTAGAAGTTTTGTGCATCAGTTCTAGAATCCTCCTTTCGAAAGAAAAGAATTTTAGCTTTTGCCCCAGGCAGTAAAAAGTTTGGGATAGCCATGATGGACTACCCCTGGGATAGTCCAGTTCAAAAACAGAAATAGGAAAACATTGAATATGCACACATGTTACATTAAGTGATAACTACTTGGAATGGCCCTCAATGAAAAGCATAATCAGTCATCTGATAAATTGCAGATTGCTCATATTCAGCAATTTGGGTCTGGCTTGCCGGGAGGAGAAAGACAGGACTTTACCTGTTTTCTTGAGAGAGCAGTGCAATGCATGCTGTGTGCCCACAAAACAGGGCATATGACAGGGGTGTATTCTCATTGATATCCCTGGGGCTGCTCTCTACCCCCAGCTGTAGCAGAATCTTAACACAGTCAGCTTTTCCTGCTGCTGCAGCCCAATGCAAAGGTGTCCTGATGAAAAAAAAAGTAAAATATGCATATAGCAGTGGGTAGTTTAAATTCAGATTTGGATAAGACAATGTTCCTGTTTTCACAACATGCTTAACTGGGTCAGATGGGAGATACCATGTCATGAGAATTCTTAAAGGGGGTTAACTGACCATGTCAAATCCAAGGGGATTGGTTTTAGCCCTAAATAGACCTGGGTCCTACGTGGGATTTAACACGCTCTTCCGTTCAGCCATGTCAGTTACTGTATGAAACTCCTGACAGCTGTGATTAACTAACCCTTTTCTTTAGTTCAAGACAAAGACCTGAGGAGGCCTTTCCTCTGCAAAAATGAGTTCTTTCTAGGTAAAGAACCATCTTCCTCCATCTTGATGTCACACTGATTGATTGATTTAAAAAAGTAGAAATAGATAGAAGTTGGGAAGCTTACCAGAACCTGTTCATGATGGTTCTGTACTTGATCATATCACTGTAGATTTTTTTTCTTAAAGTGGGGGTAAGATGGAACAGCCTCCCAGCTTCCTTGTTGGTGGTTGAGAGGGGGATTGTATGAATAGCCACCACATCACAAGCCAGCCAGCCCTGATCGTGTACTGCTGGCAAGTCTGAATTTCTAAACTGAAAGTTAAGCTCTTTCAAATTTTGCTCTTGGTGCACGGTATCAGTTCCTTTCATTGCACAGGCATGTCAGAGGCAAATGGCAACCGTACAGCTTACCACAACCTATAAAACAGGTTTTCTTGGGAGCAGTGAGATCAGATCTTTTTAACAATTGCATGTGAGGTGCCTCAGTGGTTTTCTCTGATAGCCTCCAAGTAGTTGTTCTGATTCAAAAAGTTAAGCATATTTTGAAACCTGAAGTTCAGTAAAACAGCTTATGTTGAGAGGCTTCTCATTCTGATATAATTTGGCATTGGCCAGTAGGATTTTGTACTAATATTAATGTTTTGCCACATGTGCAAATACTTGAACATTGAACTTTCAGTGTGATAATTTAAATAAAAATATTTCTTTTTCTGTATCATATTCTCAGGGCTTCCACTGTTTTTCCATCCAAGCGAATGGCCAGGTCTATACCTGCTTAGCTTCCCAGTTTCCAAATAATTCATGCTACATGTTTGAACTTTGCTAAATCAATATTTTAAAAATCAAGGATTAAACCATCCTGCATTCTACTGTTCAAGTATTAACCTTCCTCTTATACACACACACACACACACACACAAAATCCCCAATAGTTTCCCTGTGATTTTTCTTTTAGAAACACAGAAGTAAAATTCATGGTTGTTTTTAGTACTACAATCTTTAATTGACAACAAGGTTTAATTTCTAAAATGAGAATGCTGGAGCTAAAGATCACCTAGACCAGAGTTTCTCAACCTTGGCAACTTTAAGAGGGGTGGACCAACTCCCATGGCTGGCTGAGGAATTCTGGCAGTTGAAGTCCACACCTCTTGAAGTTGCCAAGGTTGAGAAACACTGACCTAGACAGGTGCACTACTCTGCAACATTTTTTCCTGTTAAAGGCCTCATTTCCGTGCGGGGAGATATTACACGGTTAAGCAGCGCTGACACCCAAAGTGAGTAGGACTGGAGTGAAAAGTGGGTGGAGATACCCCCTTCCTTTTGACAGGCTCCTTTTTTTTCTTTTTCACATTCCTTTTCCCTTTACTTTCTGACAATTCTTCCAAGCAGCAGGATGCAGGTAAGGAAATCTTCTTCCCAATGCTTAAGAGGGTTCTTGGAAAGGGTCTACCAGTGGCTCACCAGTGTTAGACAATGTAATATAAGCCTTTCCCTTTCCCTGTAATCCAAGTTTTGCAAAAGAAGCCGCCTTCTTCATCATGACTTAATAAGTAATGTGTAATGAGCTCTGCCATTCATTAAAAACAGGTGACCATTTAAAGGAAGAAATCCCTCTCGATAATATTTGATTTTTTCCTTAGCTGAACACAGACTAGGGGACCCACTGGCTAGTTGCTGCTGAACAAAGAAAGGTCAAAGAGAAGCTCTTTCATTAGGAGCCTTGTGGCATTAGAAAGCAGCCAACCCTCTTTCAACTATGGGTTAAGCAAGCAAAGCCCCAGACAGCTTTTCTCTTTGTTTCCATGGTCACCTGTCATCCACGTCCAGCGCCTGCAGGTTGCATTCTGGGATTTTAGCCAGCTCGCTAATAACGTCGCTGTATCCTGCAGCAGCTGCAACATGAATGCAAGTCTTCCCGTTCTCGTCATCATAGTTTATTATTGACGGGCCTTGATGGTGGTTCAGGATAATGGAACATAGGATCCGGTTTCCACTCTGAAAAGCAATCACACGCGTAGAGAAGACGTTACCAACATTGCTAAAAACAAATTCTAGGTCTGTAGCACTTCTGCCCTCCGTGTCTCAGAAAGTACTCACATTGCTTTCTATAAAAATGCTCTGTTAGGGCTGTCCAAGATTACTCCTTAAGTTCCTGGCTTTTAACCCATTCAATAATTTGTTTAATTTAAATAAGACTTCAGCTGCAGCCATATTACTTTTCTGAAAAGGCCTTTGGGCCCTGAAATAAAACCAGAAGAATATTATCTTGGAAATTGGCTGAGAAGTTTAGAGATGGCAATGGCATGAGACATTTCTTAGTGCTGGGTCCTAATTTATTAATAACATTTTTAAAAAGGGGGAAAGGGAGTTAGTGCCAATGTTAATCTCCCTGGACTATCTGGGGCCCTGGTGTGCTTACATTTGCCTGACAACACCATGTGGTAATATCAGTTCAGCCTTACCCAAGACCCATGGTTGCAATTTCAGATCTCAGCTAGAGTGAGAAAGCTGCACTCAGTTCCTTTCTTTTTGCAACCAGAAGCCAGTGTTTTTACATTTCTTGAATTTAAACATAGTCATATAGTAAAGCAATTCTTGCAAAGGTTAACCCCTTTTTTGCATGCTAAAGTGAGGATATGAATATAATTGATGTTGAAATAGTTTCACAAAAATTTAAAAAATGAGGTAAGAATGACTTGCCTTTGTACTGTTCTCTATGAGCCATGCCCAGTGAGATGGGCGTGAGACACAGCTGGATTAGCCATTGTGTACATTCCTCCCATTGGTTTGGGCTGGTTTCAGATTCTGCTGTGGCTAGGATTATAGTCCTTTTTCCTTCCCCTTCCAAGGTTTCACATTATGGAGACAAAAGAGACACTTCTGCCACTACATTGTTAGCAACTGTTCCATACCTGAACTGCCCAGTGAAGAGCTGTTTTAAAATCTTTGTCCACCAAAGTTGGATCTGCTCCTTTATGCAGCAATGTCTGAACATGCTGAGGTTGATTGTGGAATGCAGCCCAATGGAGTGATGTCATTCCCTGAAAATCACAACCCAAACCATTAGAGCTTTTGGTAACGCATACCTTCTCTAGAAGGCAGAATTGGTCATAGAGAGGGAAAAAAACCCTTTTCTTATCTAGATTAAGATAGATACCTTATCAGATATCTTAATAAGATTCAGATGCTATCTTATCTAGAATAAGATAGCTAAACAAAGCAGAACTCCCTGTTTTGGCATGGCAGGTGCTTTGTGAAAAATGTGTGTCATTTTTCTATTCTTTTCAATAGCTCTAATGGGGTAGAGATAAAAATATGCGTGGTAGAGTTTCTCATGCTTTCTGTAGTTGCTCTGCCTTCAGAACTTTGTTTTCTATATTACCTTTTATTGTAATGCCATTCAGTGGTCAAGTGCAGAAATAATTACTGTATGCCCACTCTTTTGTGGACTCTTGTCCACTCTTCCACCTGTAAATGGGGTTAGAGGTTTTTGTCTACAATAGAGGCTACCTTCCGATGTGGAAGAGCTCACTTAAGATTTTAGGGGTGGGGGTTGAGGCCTGCAAACTGAACGGAGACAGTTTTGGAGAAGGAATCTGAGAGAGTGCCTTTGTTTTTTGTTTTTTTTAAACTGTAATAAGCCTATTTACACTATGGTTTTCAAGTTTCCCACTTAAAAATGGTAGGAAATTGCTATCAGCTTTTAGCAATCACAGCCAGAGGATTCTCCTTGCTAGAAAAGGGTGAATCACCCATGATCTAAAGGGTTTTTTCTTTCTTCCATCTCTCCCACTGTCCTATTTCTTTTGCTCTCCCTGCTGTCATTCATTTGCCTATCAAATGATGCTTAGGAGGAACTGAAAGGCACACTGCACACATTACAAACAGGGCAGCTGGGTTTTTTTTTTTTTTTTTTGCTTACATGATGCATTTGTCTGCAGAAAATAATGCTCACCAGAATGCTAAATGGTGTGAGTTGGTTTTAGATCTTTTAGCATGAATCACTGTCTTAGAGGCCACATTTTAAAATCTGCCTTAATTTTACATAGTTCAGTACATTTTGGTGGAGGTTTGTTTGCTTACCTCATTATCCTGATGATTAATTTCACTTAGGTCCGACTGCTGAAGCAATACAGATAACAGTCTATGGAGAACAAAATTATATCCAATACATTAGAATATGTTATAATCCAATAAGTTATAAACAAAATTCAGTAGCAGTTAAAGGTTCTTAGATGGTATCCTATTTTACCACATATGGTTCTAGAATTCACAGAACCACATAAATGGTAAGAATTACTTTTTTAAATCAAGATGTTTGAACTTACATAAGACTGCCTTCAATTTAATGGCTTAAGGAACATAGCCCCATTGCAAGCATTCCCTCATTTGTTAAACTCTTGACAGTGATTCTTTTAGTCTGTTAACTGCAACATCAACAAATCATTTTATTATCCTAAAGGCTAACATATTTATTATGGCATAAACTTTCATGGAGTACAATTCACTATATTAGATATCTGAGATGTGCTGAATTATACAAGTATTTGTGTGTGTGTGTGTGTATAAATATGCATGTATTAAAATTGCTCAGATCTGTTCAAAGGTAGATGCTAACTGGCCACGTCCTGAGGAGGTGATTAAGATCACATCTTGCAATGTTACCTGAGGTGAGTCCAAAGGAAATGGACAAGAGTCCTCTGAGGCCTTGGCTCTATCACCTGTAGTCTGGATCTCTGGCCCTCCTGAACATGAAAGCTGCCAGGGAGGTGACTGGGGATTGGGTCAGGGCAGTGATAAATGTATCCTTGAGAGAAAGAGTATGACTGCCTGCCTTGAAGGCAGTGGTTGTGCACAGTCTCCTCAAGTAGCCATTGCTCGACCTAGAAATTCTGGATAATTATTGACCAGTCTCCAACCTTCTCTTTCTTGACAATGGGAAAATAAACCATCTGCAAGCTGTAATCCTGCAAAAAAAAACACCAGCTTTGTTCTAATTTCAAATAAACACCAGAGTGGGAAAAACACTAATTCAGGTCTCAAAGTGTTGTATGATTGCACAGGTTTGGAGCTGGTCATGAATTGCTGCAAAGCCCTTTTGTGGAAACAACCTTAAATATCCCCATCTGTTATGAGCCAGATATGCTAGTTTTCAGTGCCTACAATCTGCAGATGGAATGACCACATAGATTGGGAACCAAAATGGGGAAGGCTGCCTGAATAATTTTAAAATTCAATCAGATTTGCCCTGGCTGTACTAGCCTTTCGCAAGGCATTAAAAACTAGGTTCTGCTGCAAACCTGGGGCCCTGATAATATGGGTTTCTTGGCTATATTGATTGTGGGACACTGTTTTTGGCTGCTATTTTTACATTATGTATGTTTATAATTATTGGTTGTATTTTCATTCTTTTTTTATCCTGTTTTAACTATCAGCTGCCCACAGTCATGTATATGAGATGGGCAGCCATAGAAATAAATAAATAAATAAATAAATAAATAGCATTTTTTCAAGATGCTAGTAAAAAAAAAATCTCCTTCCTCAAGTCTGTTTTAATTTACAGAAGCCAGGGGAGGTGAAATAAGATTTCTAATGGCAAGTTATAGGTTTTCTCTCTCCTTCATGGCTCCCTATGATTATAAAAAACAAAATAAACATTACAGAGTAAATATAAACAAATATATTTACTTCAACTGCAGAATTTATACAGTTGCCAGGGGGCAGCTTTTCTGGCATTTAGTCTGGGCTGTCTTAGGGCTGATTTTTAAAAATTATTATTGGTATTATGATTACTATCAACCTCATGATCACCCGTATCACTGCCGTACTGCCCTTGTTATTCCAGTCTGCAGTCAGATTTCCTATTTCTACTTGTAATAGCCAGGATGAGCAGAGATAAAGAGAAAAACAAATATATAGGTTGAAGAACAGAAGCACTTCAGCAATACTTTCCGGTAAGGGAGTGATCATATTCAGAAGAACTAATTTTGTTGACTTGGGTTGATGGAAAAAGAGATGAGCAGCTGGCATACTTCCGTTCTGACCAGAGGTTTACCTGTTACCATGGGGATTATAGAAATTTTATTTTGCAGGGATCTTGGTGTTCTGCTGTTAAAGCAAATTACTATTTCTTTTCTAAATATCACCAGTCTATTTTCTATGGACATTTTATTTAATAATAGTGCTGTCGTGGTTGTCTTGAAAACTTCAAAGTGTACCGTTCAACTGATGTGGAAAGAAAAATGAAGATGTCAGGAAATTAACAAAATGGTTGACAATAAGATAATTTCAGAGATGTGGATGGAAACGGTGAATTAAATGTCATGTGTCGCTGCACATGTAATTTTCATCAGTTCATCAATCACACAAAAATGTTTCCTCAGAATACTTATTTTTGCGCATAGCTCTCAACATTTGATGTATATGTATGTACCATATAATGTACACACCTAATTCAAGTTATAAATTGCACAGAATAAAACAAATAATACCAGGCAAAGGGAACGTATTGGTTTGTAACTTCTACATCTTTTGCTCTTAATCATGCTGGCTGGAACTGAAGGGAGTTCAAGTCCAAAAGATCTTTAAGGCACCAAGTTCTTATCTCTGGCTAACACTGTTACTCCTTACCTGCTTCAAGAAAATCAGTAAATAATTATAGGAATTATAAATGAATTTGATTTTGGTTTTTGCTTTGTGTGTAAGTAAATCCACTGAATTATAGGACTTGTGCAACTTTTTGATTACTTTATGGGTGATTGATTACATGCCATCAAGTCAGTGCCAAGTCTTAGTGACCACATAGATAGATTTCCTCCATGACAATCTGTCCCTAACCTGGTCCTTCAGGTCTTCCAATGGGGCACCCATCACTGCTGTAACTGAGTCTATCTGCTTGCTGCTAGTCATTGTCTTCTCTTTCTTTCCACCTTTCCCAGCCTTAGAGACTAGGTTACAAAAACCTTAGAGAGCTAGGTTTTTGTATAATGTGTCCAAAGTAGAATAATTCAAAACTGGTCATTTGTGCCTCAACTGAGAACTCTGGGTCGAAACTTTATGAGTACTGCTTTATATAATCTAATGTCTTATCTGTCTGTCTGTCTGTCTATCTGGGTAGCCTTTGAGAAACATGGGATAAACCTTGGCTGCAGAGTTAACATGACTGGTTTCTAAAAGCAGACTTCTTCACCCCAGAGTCCGCTGGTATTATGTTGGATTTGGAAGTGTGATTTCTCCTTTGTCAGCCTAGAATATGGTGGCTCATAGGCATTGCCCCTGCCAAAGAGGAAATCCACAGCAACAATAACAAAAAGTAATGAAAAACAAAACAAAATAAAACTCCCCAAAAGGGAACAGATGTACATATTTATATGTATCAGTGGAAAATTGGAGACAATGGCTATACTTTAAAGCAGTGTTTCTCAACCTTAGGAACTTTAAGATGAGTGGACTTCAACTCCCTTTTTAGTACCCTTTGGCTGCTATATAAAACTGCCTTTTTTTAGAGCTGCTTATTTCTAAATTAAACTTGCATTACTTCACCCTTCAAAAACAGAACTCTACTCTATAAAAAAACACATATCACTTCTGAGGCAGCGTTGAAAAAAGAGCATTTATATTTAATGAGGGTAAGTGCTTTTTGATCCTCTCTCACATCATTGTTTCCTTAGCTGGGAAAATAAGGCATTTAAAGTGTATTTGCTCTTGTGTGTTTGTAAGAACCAGGTTTGTTACTAAATGTGATTTGTGCACAGAGGTAGCATGTTGATGCAGGTTGCAGACATTGCAGATGCAAATCCTATACATTGGAACAACAGGTGAAACAAATGGAGGTTATACATGGATGTCTCTTGGCCATACCCTCATTAACAGCCTCAGAAATTTCTTTGAATGAAAAAGGAGGATAAATGAGGCCTGTTGCTCCAAACCCCTATTAAATTAAGCAACATGATAGCTGTGAAATTCTGCAATTCTTTATGTATTTAACTGACAGCACAGGATGCTTAAGACTAACAGAAAAGCATAATGACTAACATTTTGATTGATCTTTGGCAGGGGCAATGCCTAATGAGCCACCATATTCTAGGCTGACAAAGGAGAAATCACATTTCCAAATCCGACATCATACCAGCGGACTCTGGGGTGAAGAAGTCTGCTTTTAGAAACCAGTCATGTTAACTCTGCAGCCAAGGTTTATCCCATGTTTCTCAAAGGCTACCCAGATAGACAGACAGGGTAGAATCGAATGGAATTCTAATCCTATTCTAATGTATGGACTGCCTAGGGGAGATGTTGTTACTCATACAATAAAAAAGCTACAAATTACAAGGAAACATTATTCAATAATTATCTCTGAGTAGTTTCAAGAAGGATACCTGACATTGGGGTCAGCAGTGGCAGCGTGTAGGGGTAATCTTCCATTTTTATCTGGGATGTTCTGTCTGGCTCCATTTCTTAGCAGGCTAACACAACCCTCAAGCCATCCCTGAAAATAGAACAAAATTTCATTTACTCTGAAAATCTTGGGGGCTAAATAAAGATTCTGCATTGAATTTCCATCCTTCTTCCCCAAATTAGTGGGCACATTTATGTGGTGCCACACATGGCAAGCAACTAATGCATTATCCAGTGCTAGGTAACCCCACAAACCAAGGCTATATCCTGTTTACTGGGTAATTGTCATCCTAGCTGATACCCTAAATACCATTGTGGCTGGCTGGCTGGCTGGCTGGCTGGCTGATCCTTCTCAAATTTTCTTCATTGTTGTTTTTACTGTAGGATTAAAAAAAATCCTATACAATCTTACTGGTCAGAGCTACAGAGTACGGCAATGCACATGAGCTGGGGGAGGTTTTGCCCTTTTCTTTCCATGTAGATTTATTTAACTGTCCCACAGAAGGATAGCATTGAGGCAGTGGAAGATTGGGGGGGGGGGGATAGTTTTTGACATTATAGCCTCTAGGTAGTCAGTGCTGTTCACAATACAATACTGGTAGAAATTAACTGAATTATTTCCACACCCAACCCAAGAGAAAGAAATGAATTGGAATATACCTCCAGTGTAGCTCCATCACTAAAATAGCACATTATACATATCCTGAGAAATTTTCAAACATATTTCTCTCTCTCTCTCTCTCTCTAAATACAGAGTTGTCTTTATTGGTCAAAATGAATGTTTTACTTCAAAAGATTATGTGGTTTATATTTTAAAAAAAACTTGAGTAAAATTTAATATGATTTTCTATGTCTTATTTAATCAGTAACTTCTTTTGTTAGGCCTAACTACTGGCTCTAATAAAGAATGTTCATTTCTCTATTTCAGCTCAACACTTCCCCAAAACAATGTGTAAGAAAAGGAAATTCTGTACCAGATAGGTTGCCAGAGATAAACTAGTGCGCCCACGGGCATCTTGAGTATTAATATTGGCTCCCATCTTTAGCAGCAATTTCACTGTATCAAGTTGGCGTCCTGAAATGGCATGCATCAAGGGGGTACAGCCTTGGAAAGGGAAAAAAAGATACAAACAGGAAACCATTTTTTAGTTCAAAAAATACAGTAGTGATATATCAAGCACTTCTTTTAAAGGGAATTTATATTGATGAAAGGCTTGTTACACATCCAGAAACCCCAACCTCAGTTATTATCTGGATTATTTTATTACAATGCTGTTTCCAAATCTCCCTTGCAGTTTTTCAGTCTATTCCAACTGCAGGGTAGAGATTAAAGGACACCCAGTTTCAACTCCACATTTCCACATTCACCCACAGAAATTCATGGGGTGACTTGGTACCAGTCACTATAGTCAGCCTAACCTATTTCATAGGGCTGTTGTGAGGGTTTAATTGGAGAACGAAGTTCCACATATGCCATGTTGAATCCAAAGGAAAGATGGGATACATATCAAATGAATGAACTGTTAAATGGCTGGTGTGAGTCTTCCGGGCTTTGTGGCCGTGTTCTGGAAGTTTTGTTTCCTAATGTTTCGCCAGCATCT